TTAGCTCCACCAACTGTCGTGATCTCTCCAGATGAGCCGGAATACCTGCTGTCAGTAGGCGATGAGCAGGTTGTTGTCAGGTGTCTTGCTAAAGGAAATCCAACCCCAACAATAAAATGGACAAGAAAGGTAAATATCCACTAATATCTGATGTAGATAGGTTCGCATCAACTAGTGTGTTTTACATGTAGTAGTGCACCTAATGAGTCAGCCGGCTAATCACAGCCAATCGTACCATTCGGTCTGGATGATAATCCGGATCCAGAGATTAGGCCAATCACCCTTATTAGCGTATAATTGCCACGAACGGTTGGCGCCCCAGGGTGTCCAGTTACTCCCACGAGAATTTCGATAATTCACCATTGGCATAAGCACCTTCTTAATTTCAGGATGGCAAGATGCCTTCGGACATCACAATTCGAGGTCCTCAACTTGTCATTGCGAAAGCAAAAACATCACATTCTGGAGAGTATGAATGCACGGCAAATAATGCCGCTGGTAGCGATTCTGCTACATTGAAAATCCAAGTGAACGGTTGGTTTTATACCAAGTTCTTCGCTTTTTATAGAAATTTGCGCAGATTTTCCCCTTTGTCAGCGTGGCATGTTAAAACTCGTTGCTGTATCTTTTGAGTGTCTTTTTGCTGTGTTTTTAGAGAATGCATTTCCCACGGCGAAACTCCGCTTGTCATCCATAACTTAGTCACATCTCTAGTGTGATTCTAACAAATAACTGTTCTAAAGTAGGCGGAGCTTTGGTGGAATTGATAGGGTTGCGTTTAGTGGGCTTTGTTTTAGAAAGTAGTTGGGATGATTTCTTCTCTTAGTTTGCATTTTTAGAATTTTGTAAAGGCAGTTAGATTAAGCTAAAGGTTATTTAGTAGTTTAGGTTTGACAGAAAGCTAGAAAAAAGTAGGTAGTTAGAGACGCATCCTAGACATAGTGTAGAGCCTGTAGCAGCTTGATGCTTTTCTGAAATAGCAAAGTCTTCGTTCCATTCCCCCCCCAATATCAATGTCTGTCCCAAAGATAAGGCATGAGAGAGTTGAAGTGCTGTTGAATTGAAACTATATTACAGAACGAGAAGATGCGGCGAAACACGGTGAGTTTCTGCATGAAAGTTGTATGGTGCATGTGTTGTCCTAACTTCTCGTCCTTCTCTTCCCATAGTTTCCTTCCTATTGCACACCCCCGCTGGCTAGACACTGCTACGCTTTTGCTTTCACTGAATACCTTTTATGTTATGCGATCAGATCGTTTCAAAGTAATTATTCAACTACTATAATCACTGGTAAGTAGGGAGTCTTGAAGAAGTCAGAAAGATCTCAGCCAGCTGTTCGCGCGAATACATCGCTGATCCGATCGCGCTTGAATTGAATTCGCACCCAGTGTTGGCGATGTCGCGCTGAGAACAATAGCGCTTTCCACACATGCAGCTGCATCATCCATAAATAGCTGGAATAAACCATGTAGTGATGACCTTCGTTCGGTTAATTGCCGACTCCTTTGTCGCACCCTTACAAATCGCGACGTCATCTTTCACTGTAGAGTAAGACCGGGAATTTGTGAGTTTCTTGTTTAGAAAAAAAAAGAAAAAAGAATTTAGTGGAACAATAATTTGGTGAGAATATTTTTGGAAATCATCTCATTCGCGAGAAAACCTGATGAATATGGAAGAAATGAAGTCACATATGCAGCTTCTTCTTTGAATTCACCATTTTGGATATTTTTATATTTCGAAGTTTTACTAAGTTTCTACGACAGTGT